CACGCTAATCAAGAATAACAAACCTTCAGATACAATCTCACATATTCTCATTACTAAACTATGAAAATTGCTATTAAATGAATGAAAAAAACGACAAGGCAATCCGAGTTTCATCATTAAAACTTTGCCGCATAACTCTGTTTGGCGAGAGTTATACTTAAATAAATGTCAGTTTCAGTATTATATGGCTAAAGTTTTAGTCATATCTAGTTTCTAGCAGCCACTTTTTATCTATATATGTATATCTATCATGTGTGCAGTTTAGTTAAGGTTAGTATATTCCTCTGTAATATGATAATGGTATATACTGTAGTGGCCTGGTTCATGAGTGCGCTGTAATACCGTTTAATCCAGCTGATAGAGCCCACACATATAATGTTTAGTTTTAAAGTTACAGTAATGCAATTAACTAAATCTGGCAACTGGTGTATATGGGCTTGACCGTAAACAACTATGTTTTAAAGTAAATTTAAACTGTCTGAAGCTTCTCAAAACTGGACAAGATAAAACTAGGATTAGTAAATGGAGATATGAACACTGGTGGTCGTCATTAAAAGATATAAACAAAGTTAAAAAAAATGAATGTTTTACATCTAGGCTTCATATTTGAAGGATACCTGAAGTCCATTTGCGTTATCGATAAACTTCCAACAAAGACATACTTAACTAGCATGAAACGTTAGGGCAAATTCGCTAAATATAAATAACTTCGGTATGAAATAGTCCATAGTTAGAAAAGGTGTTATACGGTATGCGCCGATAACTAAAATCTATTTTGACTTTCAGAATCCTATATTTGAAGCATGTTTGTTTGAATTTTCATTGCTAAAACACGATGTGCTTGAATTTACTTAGACAAAATTGGTAATTCAATATTTTCGATATGTGATAGGTAGATAGTAGTGCACATAAGAAGACATACATTAAAATTGTGTCACGTGGACCATATATTCTAAAACAAATAAACAGACTCAAACATGCACTCATATAAGCCCGGAGATGTTGACTTTAAGGAATATATATTTTCATGATGTCCATTATAGAAATTCATTACTTTTGTTATAAATTAGCTAGATAGTAGTCCCTGCTCACGGACATTAGATTGTGTTACACTAACGATATATGCTGAAAAATGAAAATATGTACATATGTGAGCCGAAAGATTTAGTATAATATCTCTTAAAAGTTTTTTTTTCAATATGTAATCAGTGGCGAAAATGTCAAAGACTATTGAAACAAAATGGCGGTCATGTTGCGAATCGCGCTCGCACTGTGCTAGACACTGTTGTGATTTGTACTCAGTAAGTACAAGGCTCCTTTCACGCTGTAAATCTAATATTTACTCACACACACTGTAAGTTAAACTCTAACTACACACAAATAACGTTCAGTTCATCGATATTCATAAAACGTGCCACCAAAGGAATAAGTAGAAATATAAATTACCTAAACTAAGTTTTAAGTCTTGAGTATTTCAATCAGTAGATGTAAACTCTTACTACACACAAATAACGTTTAGTTCATCGATATCCATAAAACGTGCCACCAAATGAATAAGTCGAAATAATTCGTTCAATTAGAATTTGGATTCTAAAAGGTGTAACGCATCAGGAATACTGTTCCATAGCTACCATTGAGTAGTTGCAACAATCTAGTTGAAAGACACATGAACAACGCGCAAATCATCTCAGAATATTTTTATAGTAAGGTATTTTCAGCTTGAAATGTGCAACCGATCTACATGACATCAAGCTTTTGTATAAGCATTAATTAAAAAATATATTTAGAATTTGAATAGAATATATCGAAAATAAATAATAACCCACAAGTTAAGAAAAAATGGGATATCTCCGTAGATTCTATTTTGGATTGAATTGTTCTACCTTAGGAACGTTTTTAGGCTTTCGTATAGAAGACAGTTTAATATTTAGGGCGGCTATATAGGATAAGCATATCCAACTATATTTACATTGTGTTTAAAACTAGTTTTTATCAATAATCAGATGCCTCTCTAATAAGGAAATGAAACTGTAATAAAGTATATTGTGTGAATAAAAAGTAAATTGGAATGCTCATGGGTAGCTCTATGTTAAGCATATTGCTCATTGTAAAGGAAAACTATTTGAAGAAAAAAAAGGCTCGGTCGAAAACACTCGACGTTATATGAGACTAAGACAACACAGTCAATGCCTATCGAACCGTTAAAACTTGAAAAGAAATATAAAGAAAATACCAAGAAATTTAGTACCCACTTGGTGCGAGCAAAACCAAACTACTGTGAAGAGAGATAATTAGCAATACTTGAATTCACATTGGATCTAATGTCCTTTAAAAACCTGTTTCCAAAGTCTGATTGCATATATAATGGTCAAACTAGTGAACATTATCACAAAGTGTCTGATATGTAAATTCTTTTGTCTATGATGCAGAACCTCTATCAATTTTGTAAAGTATAGAGAAATATAATATTTGTGATTTACTCAAAATAAAAGGAATTTTCAATTTTGGATTTCAAACTAAATTACTTGAAATCCTCTGGAGCAAAGTGACAATCTTTTTTATCCGTTTGTTTCGAAATGTTTCAAATATTTTGATGTTTGAATGATAGATGCTTTTCATTAATATATGGAAAACCTGACCCTATGTAAAGTTCTTGATAACCGGATATTTCTTGTCTAACTATTACTCAACTCCATGAAGATGTAAATTACTGAATATATTCTTTCTATATCGAAATCAAAATTTGAAGTGCTCGTGATTTCATTTTATACAGTTATCCAAATTGTTTAATGTCTTAGAAATACGTGGTTCTGCTGGAAAATAATATTAAAATTGTAAACAAATTTGGAATAACATCACATGACTCTAGTTACAAATGGTATTGTGGCGCCTATGTTTTCTTTAAAATCAATTTCTTGGCGACATTTGAATGGCAGAAAATCCCCTCGTCATACTTTTGCTAATGTGATTAGCTATATAGAGATTCAATAAAACCATGATAATATTATATTTAGTAGAAGCGCAATATGGCGCGGATTACGGGTTAATCTAGCTAGATTAACTAGCATGTGTTTGCCTAATCTTGTGAGCTACCGAGTGATGTGATGTAATTCACATAACGTGGGAGAATTTTGTTAAAATTACAAACAGAAAAAGTAAATTTTCAATTTGCAAAATTTCTTGAGTTGAAATAAAAGCTTGAATATACAAATTCACAATTCACAATTCACTTGAATACACAAATTCAAAATCTTTCACTAAATATCCAAGTTATGTAGTTAATATCTAATTTAATCACATACAATGTATTCAATTTTCTATTGCTAAATTTATTAAATTATACACAAATTTTTGACGACACAACTTTGAAAGTGTAATTATCAGAACAAAAAAAACTAGAGTGCTATACTGAAATATAGGAACACAAAAATATATCTTCAACTACTAAAAAATTCAAAGCAATTGGTTCAGTAGTAGAAAAATACCAAGAGGATAATAACATAATAACAAAATGATTCATATGGACATTTCGTGTCCAAAAACAAAACGGCTAGCCTGGATAAGATAATTATTGACTGTATAATTAACTATTAATCAAATAAGACTAGTTTTATAAAAAATATTTCATGTATCATTTCTGTGATTCCTTTTTATGGTCGTAACGATTTTGCTCTTTAGAAAGAAAAAAAACGAAATCCAAGCTACCGTGTTGTATAAGTGAAAATACTATGGTAATTAGTAACATAGTGTGAATTTTGGTTAAAATATTGAAGCTAGAATACCACGATTACTGTAAAAATTTATAAAAAACAGATATATTGCTGCGGTAACATAATTAGTTTTAATATTTGTTGTTGGTTATTTCCATTTCAATGGAAGAAAACTTATCACATTTTTAACCATTTTATCGGATATCAATAAAGAAGTCAGAAACGGTGACTAACCGGCCTACAACGTATAAGTACAGTTTCACAACGGCTTAACTTCTATGGTACAATGGTTTCCAACAGAGCGTACAATGTTCTTAATTATTCTTATACAAGATTTGCGCTGTAGGGATCTTCCTATCCCAGTGAAGAAAAGTGTAAACCATATATAACAAAAAAGAAATGAAGCATAGGTATTCCGCTGCTCTGAAAATCTGGAACTCAGTCGGAATTAATATCATAGGAAAATTTCAAGTCCAAATTGACTTGAATATAACTTATCAGTTTGTTTTCAAGACGAAAACTTCAAAAAACGTTTTCGAATATGATTCCAAAATACATTTTAAATACTCTAAGTTAACAAAACCGTGGAGATTTAAAACTACCTACTTATATATTTAAAACACCCAACAATAATTGAATGTCAATTTCTTACTATAGTTAACCAATATGCATGCGATAATCATAGAGTTATACAAAATTATCATTGTAGAAGATTCCTATAAAGTTGAATTGTTAAGCAAAAATTTTAACTCTTCTAAGAAAGGACATGAAAACATAAAAACAGAATATACAAAACTGTCTGAGTGGTAGTTTTTATATTTTATATCAAACAAACTTTATTTAAATAATTTATAATTAAACATTCTATCAAATTTTCAAAAAATAATTTGATTTCATGTTAATTAAGTGGAGAAATAAAATAGTTGCCATTAAAAGCATATCTGAAAACGTTATCACATTTCTAATATCTGTATCAATCATGAAAACCATTTGTTAGGCTTCTCAAGACATTGTATTTTGTTCTGAGTGAAACTGCAGACAAAGATACCAGACAAAACTAACAAACAGAGTACAAGATTCTAACAATGAAAATTATTAAAACTCTAATCTAAACACTTATAATATTTATATAAAAATAAGTCATAATTAAACTTAATATCAAATCTTCAAAAATAATCCTTAATTTATCCATAAACACTTAAACACTGACAAAAGCATAATAAAATTATTCAGAAGCTGACAAAATCTACTCTATACCATGTATTTTGAATTCAAATCAATTTCGCTTACCTGTGCAATTTTTTCATTTAATCAATGTGTAGCACTCCGATGATAACTGTTGCTCTGATTTTTATATCCAGAACTTTGATATTTGCTTGTTTAGTAATAGGAATGCATGATATGCTGCCTATGTGCATTGTTAGTTTATTTCATTTCATGTACATTAGCGAACGGCTATAGCTGAAATATATCGATATAAAATAGAAGTTAGTAGTTAGTTTAGTTTTTTACAAAAATTCTATTCATATTTTTTACTACCAGCACATATACATATAACTAAGACGAAGACTAAACTAATGTTTGTATTTTATACAGTGGTATGATTATACCAAAAGCATTGGCAATCAAAAAGCATCCGTCTTAAGCTGAGCCCAAGCGTCAATTTGAAGATAATTTTTAAGCCAACATAAAGTACTATTATACATCAGCATACATAAGAGTAAATGATTTAAAAAATTTAAAAGTTTTAGCAGTGAGCCAATATTATTTTATTTTATACAAAAGTAATGTGATAACATACTAAGAGATCCTTAGTAACTTTTGTCTCTAAATTCAATTTTTGATAAATCCTCTTGATAACCACCTAGCATAAACAAATGAGGAGCAGCATCTCGGGGTACATTTATAGTTTTACTCGCACACCTGTTGGAATACATCATATTTGAAAGATAATTTATTGAATTGTAAGTTGGGTTTAGAAATATGGTAGGCATATTGATTTGCTTTGCACTGAATGTGCTAATTGATGTCCAGTCTCATGGGAAATGACGTCATGATAACTTCGTCATAACCGTTTGCACTTTTCGTTGCCTGACCTATAGCCTCGAGTATTTGTGTGGTCTACAAAACAATGTAGGTGGCCAGGGAATGCTGAAAGACAAAGTTGGTTTTCTTGCCAAAGATTCAGAGTTAGAAGAATGTAATAAACCTTTTAAAACCCTTTCAAACCATAAAATTCATGATCCATACAAATTTTGTTCATTTGGTTAGAAATGTTGAAATTTCATTGGAATAAGAAGACGTTAGAACTCAAAACATTGGAATGACTGTGTTTGCAATTTGTCTCAAATTTGAGAATTGAACCAATTTAAGTAAGCTAGACTGAACTGCTTGGCACTGTATAGTCTTAACAGCTGTGCCCTTGTCCAATTTTGATTTCTGTTGCTTTCTCATTATTCCTAAAAAAAAGCATACAGCACAGGGCGTAATGGGATTGATGGTAGCGTCATTGACCTCAATATTTGTGTTTATACATTTTGCGGAAATCCAACCCCACAAGAGTTTTAATTCAAATTGTAACAATATTCTATCGAGAGCAGTGCACATACTACAGCCATAATACAGTTTTTGTTTTTTGCAACAACTTTCTAGCCTACTAGTAGAAGTCTTATATGTGTTTTCCATGTATTGTTATCATTGACTGATAAGGAATATTATTAATCAAACAAGGTTTGTAAATTATCTGACACGAAACGTGCCTTATCTCTTTTTATCATGCATTTGATGTTTCGAGTTTACTTGAATTATTGCGCAGTGGCCTAAAGATGGGCGATTTTGTCTTTGCACTGGGAGATATACATGTCTATGGAAAAACACATAGAAAGTTACAGTATTCACACAAAAATATAGTTTCACATAACAATGCATTTTCCCATGACCAGTCATTTGTGATTTGAAGTGATAGCTCTAATATAGCAATATATAGTCTCCATATGGTAATATATACAGGTTCCAAATTCACAACACTTTTGTGATACTGCCATTTTAGAAAGACTTGCGCATCTTCAAACATTTCAATAAATTTAAAAATTTCAACAAAAAATTGTTTTTGTGTTTTTAAACAGGGGTGAAACTTGATCAATATTTATTTTCTTTTATATATGCCACATCCCAACCCGGTGATTAGTTCAATTTTTTTTCTAAATTTGAAACTAATTATTCATTTGATTAAAACAAATAAAAATTTTCCCATTTATGATGTAGTTTGCTAGTCCTCAGATAAATTCATACAATTCAAACAAACTCCTATTAACTGCATGGACAGCCGTATCTATACACTTACTGAATGGATTTGTATCTGAGTAATTCATTTGACTTTAGCTTCATACTTGCATGAAACAAATTGATGAAAATTGATGATTGATGAAAATTAACACTGATTTAGATAGATAAACAAATAAATACATTTTACTGCTAAAACTAAACGTTAAAACTTCAACACAAAAGAATTTTGTCAGGTAATATTTACATTTCTAGATTCCTGTACTCAAAACTATAGTGCTCTAAATTAAAATAACGAAAGACTGGTATTGCCTAAGATAATGAATGAATTAAACATTTATTAGTGCTTGAATTATAAGTTTGCTGAAAAGCTGCTGAAACTTTACCAAAACAAATGAAATTTCTTAAGGCAATATTACCATTTCTGGTTGTCTTGTTCTAAAAACTACAGCTCTATCCAAAACATTTCAAATACACTATTCCGTCTGTGTCCCACAGAGAGTAGCCTTTTATCACATCTGCAATTTATTTATTTGTTTACCTTCCCTATTATTTCAGGTACAATTTAATAGCACTAAGTATTCCCTTCAAACAACTTCTCTCTATGAAACTAGGTCGAGTATATCGATGCAGTGTGCCTCTATGTTTAACTAAGTGATTCCCAATACACAAACTTGTCCTGTGATATGTTAACCTTATGTGAAGATTTGAAGCATTTTATTCTATAAATTAAAACCCAGTGTAAAATATGAGCTAGACCTATATATAATAAGCAATAACATAAATATGCTTCGCGTTGTAACATATTAAATAATTATATGCTTCCTTGTAAATGTATCATCAATTTACATAGCATGTTAGTCCGTTCTAAAGAGTTCTGAACGCCATAGCAGGATTTTGTTTAAAAAAAATGACAAATTGGTAATGTGTTTTAATTGTTTTATAATAACTTCAAATGCTTCAAATTGTTTCAATAATTTATATACATTAGTTTTAGTGTTATACAAATTAAAATGAAAACGCGCTCTTAATTTTTCAATAAAAAAGTATATAGGAAAAATAAAATATCATAAATTATTATTGTAAATTGGTAATTTGATTATGATGTTATTAGATTATTTAAAAAATTTGTGCCTTTTTGAGTCATTGATTGAATATCCCTTTTTCGTTTCTATAAACCTTTTAGTGGACGTTATTTTGTTTCCGACTGCTTTTCATATTTTATAGGTCTCTAAACCAATCTCATATAATCATTTCATGACGTAAACATTACGTCTTAATACCATGGTAAATGTGGTTTATGACGTAGAAACAAAATGACAGTGATAATAGTCTAACGCATTTACTGACAGCAAGAAAATGACGGCATAATAATAAAAAGTCAAAGAGAAAACATAACAAACACGAAATATATTGTTAAAAAAGCAGATGAGTTTTTATTAAACAAAAGCTAGTGTGTCATCTGGCATCGCTGACATGATCGTCTATCATTATTCCTGTTTTCTCTATGAGAAATCATTTTCTAAGAGTCAAAACTGCTCACGTTCCAACACAAAAGTATGCTGACAGATTCTGACAGTTGCCAGTCTTTACTGAACGTTACATAACAGACATAACAAGATATTAAAGTGAAATTTTCCGCGCATTAATATGCGGCCAAAGATCGTCAACACAAAAAAGTCCTATTACAGATGCACTTGATATTTATCTATCAAAATACTAATTGAAAACACGGAATAATGACAAATAATATGTCGCCCTTCCTTCATTTATCTCAACGCCTGCGTTATTAATGTCAGACAAAATATTCAGTCTTCTGACACGCCTCAATGACTGGTGATTTCTATTCTCACGAAAGACATTTTGAAATTCAGTAAGTGTGAACAGCAAACATCATACTTTGCTGAATTATTCAATTCTTTATATTTATTTCTAAGTTTAATTATTGTAGTCTCTGATTTAAGTTAAATTACTACCTGCTAAGCAAAGACTCTTCCTGATAGCGTAAAACATTTTCCACAAATTGCGCGCGATTGAGAGACGTACGCGCAAACCAAGTTCCGCCATTTTGTTTTGTCGCGATAGTACGACGCTCAGATATTGGAGACGAGTCGACCGTTGAGCCAACGCTTGTCGCAAGTAAAGTTGTTATTCAACCAGTAAAATAAGTCATTCAATACATTTATGGTAGTCAACAATACTCGTTTGTTTCTCCCTGTTTTTTAGGAACATCATATTCTTTTGACAATTTGTAACGAAGTATTGGTAGACGGGAACACAGTATTACACTAACAGGCTAGTTTAAAAACTATTACTCTGTTGAAGTGCTGACCTGCATTGAGCGTCTCATTGTTGATTGCTGAATCGTACACGGCACGTCAAAACAAGGTTGCGCGACAATTTTCCAATACAAACAAATTGTTAAAATTGACATAAAGGTTGTTTGTCCACGATGTGGCTGTATATAATATACCTTTCCTGTTACACTGTTTTAGCTTTTCGAATATAGCAGGCTAGTTTGAAAGATGTTTACCCGTCGAAGTTTTGTCTGTGTTATCGTGTATCCTGCGTCACATTAGTTAATTGCTGAATTGTAAGTAACAAATCAAAAACAAAGTTAAGAAACAATTTTGTAATAAAAATGTATACATAAAGTATCTGTATATGTACGATTGCTTAGGGCGGTGCATAAACTTCAATAATTGTATAATTAATCCAAATTCTCACGGGAATGACTCGTTGGGTCTGTTGCCGCTTCATTTAGATCAAGATATATCTGATGCGCATTTTCAAAGCGATATTGTTAGAAAGTTATGCATTCCATGTAATGTGAAAAATCATTCCGAATTTTATCTATTTCGTCGATTATTAATTTTGCCAGGCTCACTCCGAAACGTAACGAGTAAACAGATTTTTCTGTATGGCACTTGTCCGTTGTAAGCGTTTTGAAGGGAACTGATAGTTTGTTTGTCAATGTTGTTGATAAAATACACATCATTACTGTTGGGAAAAATAAAAAATTAAGTAAATTTTCAAAGTTATCATCAAAAATAATCTCTTAACCTTATCGATCTGTATTTATCGGGAAAAATTAAACTATCATTCTGATACCATGTTAAATCAAGTTTAGAGTTATGGTCAATCAGAGCGGAACTCTTATCG